TTTGTTGGAGCAGTTTCAGTGGATTGGTACTGATTCTTCTTGTATGTCTGGTAGAACTTGGCCATTAATCCTTCTGGTAGTGAGTTTTTTTTTTTTTTTTTNTTCACCATGTTGACCAGGATGGTCTCGATCTCTTGACCTCGTGATCCACCCGCCTCGGCCTCCCAAAGTGCTGGGATTACAGGCTTGAGCCACCGCGCCCGGCTTTTTTCCTTCTCTTTTCTTTTTTTTAACTGGGAGATTTTTTTAACTGGGAGAGATTTTGTGACTGATTAAATCCCACTACTTGTTATCGGTGTTATTGGTCTGTTCAGGATTTCTATTCCTTCCTTGTTCAGTCTTTGGAGGTTGTATGATTCTAATGAATTTATTCATTTTCTCTAGATTTTCTGGTGATTTTTTTTATGTCTGTGGTATCAATTGTAATGTCTCTATTTTTATTTTTACTTGTGTTTAATGGAACATTTTTTCATCTCTTTGTTAGTCTTGCTAGTGGTCTATTAATTGTGTTTATCTTTTCAAAACTAACTTTTAATTTCATTGATTCTTGTATTGTTTGTTTGATCTGAATTTTATTTAGTTCTTCCAAGATTTTTGTTATTTCTTTTCTTCTGCTAGTTTTGGGTTTGGTTTGTTCTGGTTTTTCTAGTTTCCTTATGTGCAAAGTTAGGTTAATTTATAACCTTTCTATATTTTTTATGCAGGCCTTTCACACTGTAAATATTCCTATTAGCACTGCTTTTGCTATATCCCAAAGGTTTTTGTATGTTATATCTCTATTTTCATTTGTTAAACATTTCCATGTTAATTTTATCATTGACTAGAAGTTCACTCAGAAGTCAGTGATTTAATTTTGATGTGTATGGATAGTTTTGAAAATTCTGTGTGATATTGATTTCTAGTTATATATCACCATCTTCTGAGAAGATACTTGTTATTATTTGTAAATGTTAAAAATTTTTTGAGGCTTGCTTTGTGGCTGTAGCTTAGCATATGGTCTATTTTGGAGAATGTTCCATGCACAGATGAGAAGAACATATATTCTGAGGTTGTTTGGCAGAATGCTCTTTAAATGTCTGTTAGGTCCATTTGTTCTAGAATTCAATTTAAGTATAATGTTCCTTTGTTTATATTTTTGTCCCGGCAATCTGTCTAGTACAGTCATTGGTGGTGTGGAGGTTGCTTACCCTCATCATATTGCTGTTTATCTTTCTACTTAGCTCTAGTAGTATTTGCTTTATGAATCTGGGTGCTGAAGTTTTAACTACATACATATTTAGTATATCTTCTTGATTTCTTTATTATTATAGAATAAACTTTATCTTTTTTTCTTTTGTTGACTTTAAGTCTTTCTTGTAAATAAATATAACTCTACCAAATTCTTTTCTCTTCTGTTTGTACAAAATACCTGTTTCTATACCTTTGCCATGAATTTGTATATAAGTTTCTCTCATTTAGGTGGATTTTTTTGTAAGTGGTATGTGGTTGGTGTCTGTTTTCTAAACTTGGTCCACAAATCTATACCTTTTATGTGGGATATTTAATCTATATATGGTGAAAGTTAACATTGACATGTGAGGTTTTGTTCTTATAATTATGTTAGTTGTTACCTAGCTGGTTTGCAGTCTCAACTGTGAAATTCTTTTTAATAAGACCTAAGAGTTTTGTACTTTTGCATGTCTTTATGATGATGAGTACTGACCGGCTTTTTCTATATTCAGAACTCCCTGGATCGTTACTTGTGGGACGAATTGTTAAAGTGGATTTCTAGTGGTGATGAATTCCCTTAGTATTAGCTTGTCTTGGACATATTTTATGTATTCTTCATTTTTGAAACTTAATTTAGCAAAATACAAAATACATGTCTAACAAACTTTTTCTTTGTCAAGAACTATGAAAGAATCTTCCTTTAAGAACTCCAAAAATAGGACACCAAATTCTTCTGGCTTGTGAAGTTTCTGCTGAGAAGACCACTGTTGGACTTATGAGATTTCCTTTATTGTCGATGTGATGCTTTTCTCTTGTTGATTTTATGATTTTTTTTTTCCCATTAGCATTACTTTAGATACTCTGATGACTACGTTTGAAGTTTGTCTTGCAATGCATCTTTCTGGCATTATCTGAGTCTCTTGTATAGAGATGTCAATATCTCTAGCAAGAGGAGATAAATTTTCCTCAGATAGGTTTTCCAAACTTTTAACTTTTTTCTTCTCCCTCAGGAATATCTGTAACTCTTTTCTCCCTTTTCAGAATGGCATTTTTCCAACTCGTGACCTCAGGTGATGCACCTGACCTGGTCTCCCAAAGTGCTGGGATTATAGGCGTGACCCACTACACCCTGCTAAGAATGCCATTTTTCCCCAAACCTTTGCTCATTTAAAAAATTATTTGTTCTTAATTTTTGTCTGACAGAGTTAATTTGAAATACCTGTCTTCATGCTCTTAGAGCAAGTTTTCCTGCTTGGTATAATATGTTATTAAATCTTTCAACTATATTTTGTAATTCTTTGATGAATTTTTTATTTCCCTAAGTTCTTTTTTTAAAAAATATTTTTAGTACATTTTTTATTCATATATGAGTTTTTCCCCTAATTCCTTTGTGTTGCTTTTCACCTTTCTGTTGGATTCCACTGAGCTACTTTAAAATAAATATTTTAAATTATCTGTCTGTTATTTCAAAAATTTTATTTTGGTTAGGAGTCTTTGCAGAAGAGTTAGTATGATCCTTTGGGGGGGTTGTGATACTCTGTTTTATCATACTTCCTGAAATGTTTCAGTGTTTTCTTCTCATTCCAGTGGACTATCTCTTTTTCTTATTTTTGAGTGTAGTTTTCCATAGACAGGATTTCTTTCCCTTTAAGGGTGTGATTATGATGCATGTTGTTTAGGGTTATTTGGTTTATGTTCTGGCTTCTTTCAGTGGTTAACGGCTCTGTATGAGTTCTTTGGTTAGAGATAACTTTTGTCTGATGGCTTTCTTAATTGCTGGTTTTAGTAGTTATGTACTGGGTGTATGACAAGGCTTACTGCCTCCTGAAGGGCTGGTATAGAGGACTTGTCAGAAAACTAACCTTGTTTTCCAGCATCATGCCCTAATGTCTGCAGATTTTGCATTGGGCTGTGCAGTTCAACATCCAGGACAGTATGTGGTGCACACAGGTAAGAGCCAGCAGCAGCAGAAGCAGAAGAGTGTATGCTGGTCACTGTTTAAGGGAGAAACTCTGTTGCCCCAGGCAATGGACTGATCCGTGAAATGGTCTGAGGAGCTGGGGACAAAGCTGGGTGGATCCGAACAACTAAGCTCACCCTTGGATACTGCAAGGATGAGCACAAGCACCAGCCCTCCCAGGGGTGTCAGGAGAAGACCCTGTAAGATGCCCCTAGGTGTCTGCAGAGTGGGAGGCAGCTGCCCCAATTCCATGGCCTTGGCAGGCAGGGCCTGATCCACTTACCTGTCATAGTCCCAGTGGTGAGTACACTCAGATTGGACGGGCACCACTTTCTATCTCCAAGTTGCAATAGAAATGACAGCTATGAAAGGCATTTGCACTGCAGTTCCCCATCAAAATGTCTTCTATGTGGAACCACCTCTGTCAGCCCAAAGCACACAGCATTTCAGCTCTCCTGCTGTCTCCTGCAGGAACACTGCTGCTACGTGTAAAGAGGGGGAGGCGCCTTGTCCTTCTTGTAAGCCTGGTTTCATTGGGCATATCACCAGTGGGGATGCAGCCACCCTTAATACTTCTAGAATGTCTGCCCTCTGGTGTGTCTGCATCAGTTCCCTTTGCGAGTGACCACAGCTATGTCCACTGGATCAGGAGTAGGGGAGCTGTCCCCCCTCTATATCCCTGCCCAAGCAGTGGTCCACCTGGCTCCTGGTATTTATCTATTCTCCTCCGTTGCAGAGCCAAGCACAGCACCTGTGTGTCTACTGGAAGTGCTGTAGTCACTTTCAGCCCACAAGCAGGTTGCTCTTGCACACAGGAAAGTGAATGCTACTGTCTTCTTTGTCACAAGGGGTGTCCCTTTGTTGCACTGCACTCTCCCTTCCTTTCCATTAGGAACACCACTCGCTGATGGTTAAACTACTGGGAATGCTGTAGCTTCTCTGAGTCCAGCACGCTATATATGACTGCCACATCCAATCAGGTGCCAGGTTATGTCTGTGCAGCTCTGGGGTTATGGAGACACAGGGCTGAGGTTCCTGGGTAGGATACAGTCCCCATGTGAGTGCACTGCAAGTATGAAACCTACCACTGTAGCTCAGGTCCAAGGAGAAGGCAAATGACTCTGATCAAGCTAGTAGTTTGGTGTACTGCCCTGAAGAAGTTCTGAAATCTCCACTCACACCAATGTGTGTGTTCACAAGGGCCGAGGAGCTCTCTCACAGCTTGGATGCACATTCTGATCTGCAGGGAGCCCAAAAGACTCCTACCAACACTTTCTATGAAGTCCCCAGATCCTAATCAACCATTGCCAGGCTCTTGCTTCTATTTTTTTCCGTGCTTTGTCTTCTTAACAGGATTTTCTTCTATGCTCCAGCACCCTGTCTTTGATATTTTTCAAGTTATGATCATTTACCTGTAACTTTGGTTCTTCTCTCTGAGGAGAACTGTTGTCCAAACTCCTTAGTCAGCCAACTTATTTTCAAAAGCCCTAATTCTGGTTTATGTTTGCAACTTTAAAACTGTAGTCTCAGTCTTTTTTAATATGAGAGAGCAATTTCATACTTTCATTAGAAACATATAACATTCAATTTCATAAATGTCAGTGATTAGAAGTAGATTCATCATAAATAATTTGAATTTCTAAATTAATTTTTAGAACAGGCACATTTTAATACCATAACATTTCTCATAAAGTTTTATTTCAATTTACACAGCGTATAAAACATAATATGTAGCGTTCTTTTCATGGAAAAGGATTTATCTGATGCCCCTCCGTATGCATAACCTAACACCAACCTCACTCTATTGTGGCCCATGTAATCTTTACTTTGACAATAATTAATTATATATTATTATGAAATTATTTTATCTTTTTAAAGAACGAGAATGCAGTCTTCCTAAAATCGATGCTCAATTGGTTCCTGATCCCAAGAAGGACCAGTTTAAAGTTGGAGAGGTGGTGAAATTCTCCTGCAAACCAAGATTTACCATAGTTGGAGCTAATTCAGTTCAGTGCTACCACTTTGGATTGTCCCCTCAACTCCCAATGTGTAAAGGTGAATGTTTATCTTACAATTGCTGAAACAAGAATTAAAACTTTGAATAGTTTTAATTCTTAATTTTGTTTGGGCTTCTATCATCTGCAATCTAAAGAATTAAGTCAAAGATTTGCCTGTGTAGGATATGGATTGGAAGTGAATACCAGAGGTTTGGTTACTTAAGTTAACCTCCACTGTTTCTTGAACAATGTACTGGAAGTATTCCTAGACACATAGGTGTTGTCTGTCTTAGTCTATTTTATGTTTATGTTTCTATAAAGGAATAACTGAGGCTTGATGATTTATGAAAAATTTTATTTGGCTCACTATTCTCATGGCTATAAAATTCAAGATTGGGCGTCTGCATTCAGTGAGAGCCACAGACTGCTGGTAGAAGGGGAAGAGGAGCCAGTGTGTGCAGAGAACACATGAGGAGAGAGAAGCAAGAGAGAACAGGGAGGTGACAGGCTCTTTTTAAGAGCCAACTCTTGCAGGAACTAATAGAGTGAAAACTATCCCTGAGTGGGGTCATTCATCTATTCATGAGAGAACCATACCTATGACCCAAACGTCTCCCATTAGGCCCCACCTGAAACATTGTGGATGAAGTTTCACCACAGTGTTGCGGGGGGCAAACATCTAAACCATAGCAGTGGCTGGCAATGCAGGGAGTTCTTTGTTAATTTTCATTTTGCCTGCAACGTCATCATCCACATTGAACATTTTGTGTAGTGTGGGCTGTAACTTAAGTTTCATTGAGTGTGTCTAAACAGTATTTAAGCCACTTATATTAAATTCAATTACTTGTATTGATTAGTCCAATTTAAAATACCTTGTTCAAAGCCTGCCTCAGTCATGATAGTTTTGCAAAATGTTATAATAAAATGTTTCCATGAAATGTAAAAATTAACATGATTTTCATAACCCCATTTGCTAATTGGTTTTCTTGCATCTTTAAAGGATCTAAAGACTCAGCATACTTTAACATTTTAATATGACTTCAATATGACAATTTAGTTAATGTAATACAGTATGAACACCATTCTTGATTGTCTGAGGATGCTATAGTAAGTTACATAATGAAGAATTCATAAATAAAAGAAGAAAGTCTCTCCATTTTACTGGATTTTTATATTATGAAACAGACAAATGAACCACTATTTACGTAGCATTTCTACTATAGAGCAAGTACAATCATGTGGTCCACCTCCTGAACTTCTCAATGGGGACGTTAAGGAAACAAAGAAAGAAGAATATGCACACAGTGAAGTGGTGGAATATTACTGCAATCCCAGATTTCTAATGAAGGGGCCTAATAAAATTCAATGTGTTGATGGAGAGTGGACAGCTTTGCCAATGTGTATTGGTAATGTATAAAATATTAATATATAAACTTGTCAAAACTTTGGTATTTTGTATGTAAAACACATAAATTATGTTTTCACAAAAAAAAACTTTTTTGTAAAATTTAAATAGAGGAGGAGAGTACCTGTGGAGATATACCTGAACTTGAACATGGCTATGCCCAGCCTTCTTCTCCTCCCTATTACTATGGAGATTCAGTGGAGTTGAATTGCTCAGAAACATTTACAATGATCGGGCACAGATCAATTACATGTATTAATGGAGTATGGACCCAACTTCCTCAGTGTGTGGGTAAGAATACACTTCTTAAATCAACATTTAATAAAGTTTAATATTTTTATTGTAAAATCAAAATTTACAACTCTATTTTTGAAATTTACAGATATACCTCAACATGTCCAGGCTTCAATATAATGAAATCAATGTTTTGCATATTGTTTATAGTTCACTATGTGTCTAGAGAGAAAAAATAAAGCTAGAAATGTAATTTTATGAATCTTTCTGCCTCTGATATCAATATTGTGTATCTTTAAAAGTGTGAAGTAATGTTTTACTTATAAAATTTTCATGTGAGGCCAGGGTGGTGACTCACCCTTATAATCCCAACACTTTTTGGGAGGCCAAGGCAGGAGAACTGCTTGAGGTCAGGAGCTTGAAACTAGTGTTGGCAGTATAGCAAGACCCCATCTCTATAAAAATTTTTTTTCAATTAGTTAGGTGTGGTGGTGCCTGCCTGTAATCCGCCTACTATAGAGGTTGAGAAGCAAGGATTGCTTAAGGCCAGGAGCTTGAGATTGCAGTGAGTTTTATTGTGCATTCCAAACTGGGCAACAGTGTAAAACTCTTTATTTAAAAAATAAAAAAAATTAAAAATTGTCATATAATTACATATGAGTACTACTGACCAAGAAAATATAACTATTTTATGTAAATACTGTTGTTATTATATGGTACTCCTTTCAGGTACTGAAAAGCAAAGAAACAAAGTTGACAAAATATCTGCTTACTAGTCTCCCACAGGAATATTTTCTCTCTTTAAGCTTGCAAAAGTGATAAGTTTTCAGTTTGTTCCATATCAGCCAAAATGAATTAATGTGCTGCAGGATTTGTGGGCCGCAGGCCTCCTATGTCAGTAGTATAACTGAGTGACAAGAAGTAGTCATGTCACTTACACTGTGACTAGGGATTTACAAGTCTTTAAATCATCTTGTCTCTTTGATGAGCAACTGGGAAGATCTGGGGGATTCTCATTTACACTTCTCTAAAACTGAGTTATTTCCTAACGTTTTCCTGGGTCCTGCATTCTAAGAGTCCTAAATGTTCAATCCTACTTATTCATCCAATGAAATAGCCAATGATATTTTGCATTTCCCAATGTACAAAATATCTTATGATAGATATTCTCTCTGACATCTCAGCGACAGAATACAGGGCTTATGTTTTTACATATAGCATTTTGGTGCAATGTGATCAGGAGTAACTTGATTGGTGAAATTTATAATGATATGTCATAATTTTACTATGCGAATACTATAAACTTTATAACTATTTTTATGTAATAATTGGTTTGGTTCTTAGAATTTTAATACAAATATTTTCATTGTATAGCAACAGATCAACTGAAGAAGTGCCAAACATCACCATTAATTATAATTGATGGAAATTCAACCAAAAAGTTAGAATATGATCATAATTCTAACATAAGGTACAGATGTACTAGAAAAGATGAACTAAAACACTCAGTCTGTGTAAACGGAAGGTGGGATCCGGAAATGACCTGCTCAAGTAAGCTCTTATTTTGTTTTAAAAAATGTATTCCATTTTTCATTTGGAAAAGTGATTTGTATATTTGTATCTTTTAAAAGCTTTAGGTATTTATTATTACAAATGCTCCTGAACCAGGAAGGTAATTTAGAAACTAATGAAAACAGTTTCTTTCTTTTTTTTCTTTTTAAGAAACTTTTATTTTAGGTTGAAGGTTACAGGGGCAGGTTTGTTATACAGGTAAACTGCATGTCACGGGAGTTTAGTGTACAGATCATTTCATCACCCAAATAATAAACATGATACCCAATAGGTATGAATTGTTTATTGAATTCTCACTGTGTGCTAGGACCAGTGCTGTGCTGAAGATGGCTTGGACAGGCTCATGAGAGCTTAATTGTTTAATGTGCAGAAATTTTGCATGATGTTAAACATAGCCATTATTAAAATTCAATTATATTATGTTATACTTAAAAACAAAGGCAATAAATTAATACAAGCTGTGCCATGTGAATTAGTTACCTTTAGTATAAAAAACAGGCATAAATTCAATGGTTTTTTAAAATTACATGTCATCATTACTGTTGGGGGACCAGTGCTTCTAATTCCTTTTCTTGTCAACAAATGTTCCTGTGCCTATACCTCTGTCTATGACAGTAACTACTATGTATCTGTATATATGTGTGTATGTATTACATAGCTACATCTATTTCTATATATTCATTTATTTAACCTGTCTGTCTACCTATTCATCTACGTATCCATCTGTTCTTCCATTTCCCCAATCATCTATTTATCTATTAATCTATTCTTTATCTTGAAAAGTTAGTCATATTGACATATAGAGTTTCACTTAAACAGTGTAGCGTTTATTCCAGTCTTCCCGTGTTTCATATCTGTATTTTGCTCTCCAATTGTGGGGTTCCTTGCCTCACTGGCCTCAATATTTTTACCAATGTCTGCCAGTCTAGAATATACAGAACGCATTAACAACTAATACAAAAACTAATCAACTATCAACAGTTCAATATGTTTAGAGTCCTTAAAAGCAAATAACATACATGCAGTGCAGTGTACATGGTTTACAGTTTTTTTCTTGAGTTTTATATAGTGTTAGCACTTCTGTTTAGGTTTTTTGAAATGATCATATGGTTATTGCTCTTTCAGTTAATGTGATGCATCACCTTTACTGATTTGCCGATGTTGAACCACCATTGCATTCTTTTTATTAAACCCACTTGATCACAGTGAATAATCTTTTTAATGAGCTGTAGGATTTGTTTTGCTCGTGTAATGTTGAGGCTTTTTTGTGCCTATGTTCATCAGTGGAGTTTGCCTGTAGTTTTCCTTTTGTGTTGTGTCCTTTTCTGGTTTTGGTTTCAGGGTAATGCTGGGCCACCAGAATGAGTTAGAAAAGTGATCTCCTCTTCAAAATTTTGGAGTCATTTTAGAAGAATTTGTATTAGTTCATTTAAAATGTTTGGCAGAACTCAGCAATTAAGCCGTTAGGTCTTGGATTTTTTTTTTTTTTTGATTGGAGATATTTTATTACTGACTTAATCTCTTCCCTCATAATTAGTCTGTTCATATTTTCTATTTTCTTTGCGTTAATCATAGTAGGCTGTGTATGTCTGGGAATGTGTCCATTTCTTCTAGGTTATCCAATTTGTTGGCATTTAATTGCTAATAATGGTCTCATTATTCTTTATATTTTTGTGACATCCGTTGTAATGTTTCCTTTTTTAAAAAAATCTCCGATTGTGTTCCTTTAAGTCATATCTCTCTTTTAAAGTTTTTCTAGTTAAAGCTTTGTCAATTTTGATTCTTTTTAAAAAATCCAATTCTTTCATTGATACTTTGTAGATTTTGGGCTCTATTTTGCTTACTTTTGCTCTGATCTTTATGTTTTTGATCCTTCTATTAATTTTGGGATTGATTAATTTTTTCATATTTTTCTGCTGCTTTGAGGTGTAGTATCAGATTGTTTGAGTTCTTTCCACTTTCATGATTTACGCATTTATTCCTATAAACGTCCATCTTAGAACTACTTTTGCTGCATTTTACAAGTTTTGTTATGTTTTGTTTCCATTTTTCTTTTCCTCAAGATATTTTAAAATTTCTTTAAACTTTTTGACCCCATTGTTGTTTCAGAGCACATTGTTTAATTTTCACCTAATTCAAAACTTTCCATAATGCCTCCTTTTATTGACTTCTCCTTTTATAATGCCATTGTTGTCAGAAAAGGTACTTGATATTATTTCAGTCTTCTTGAATTTGATGACTTGTTTTATGGCCTAACATATGATATAATCTGAAGAATGTTCATGTGCATTTGAGATGAATATGTTTTGTTGTTGTTATGTAGAATGTTCTTTATATTTCTGTTCAGTCTGTGTGGTATAAATTATTGTTCAAGTTTAATGTTTTCTTATTGATATTCTGTCTGGATGATATGTCTAAATGTTGAAAGTAAGGTACTGATATCCCCACTATTACTGTGCTGCAGTCCACATCTCCATTCAGGTCTCTCAATGTTTACTTGTATATTTAGTTGCTCTGATGTTGATTGCATATATATGTTTACAACAGTGACATTATCTTGACGAATTGACCCCATTATCATTATGTAATAACCTTCTTTGTTCCTTTATACAATTTTTTCCTTTAAGTCTATTTCTTCTGAAATAAGTATAACTACCTCTGTTCTCTCTTAGTTTTTATTTTTATAGATTTTTTTCTATTCCTTCACTGCAATCTATGAATGTACGATACAGTGAAATAAGTGAATTGTAAGCAGTTTATAAATGGGTATTAATTTTTAATTTATTTGGTCATTCTATGCCTTTTGATTGTAGAATACATTCCATTTTTATTTAAAGTAATTTTTGATAGGTAAGGATTTACTAGTGGCAATTTGTTAATTGTGTTTTGGTTGTTATTTTTTTAAATTCTTTGTTTCTATCTCTCTTGCTTGCTTTATTCATGCCTTGATAGCTTTCTGTAGTTGTATGCTTAGGGTTTTTTTTTTTTTTTTTTTTTTTTTTAACTTTTGTCTATTAGAGGTTTTGCTTTGTGGTTATCCTTTGACTTATATAACATATCTTTTAAAAGTCTATTTTAAGTTGATAACAACTGAAATCTGATTACATATTGGCTTATATAACATATCTTTTAAAAGTCTATTTTAAGTTGATAACAGCTGAATTCTGATTACATATAAAATCTCTAAATCTTACTCTGCTCCTTCTACGTTTTTTATCTTTGATGGCATACTTTACATCTTTCTAGAATTCATATCTCTTAACAAAGTATTGTGCCTTCAGTTGTTCTTAGTAGCGTTGCCCTTTAACTTTATGCTAGCTATAATTCCCCATCACCATTACAGTATTAAAGTGTTTGGATTTCATATCATACCTACTTTTACTAGTAATTTTTATACTTTAACATCTTCATGTTACTATTTAGTATCCTCTTCTTTCACCTTCAAGAAATCCCTTTAGCATTTCTCGAAAGGCAAAATAGTGTCCTTATACTCTCTCAGCTTTTTTTAACCACAGAAAGACTTTTTCACTCCTTTGTTTTTAAGACAGAATTGTAGAATCAGGAATTATTGGTTGGCAGTAATTTTCTTTCAGAACTTTGGGTATACCATTCTACTTCCTTATGTTCTGCAGGGTTTCTGTTGAATAATCCACTGACAGTCTTGTGGAAATTCCATTTTATGTGACCATTCACTTTTTATTTGCTGCTTTCAACACTTCATCTATAACTTTTGATAATTTGATTGTGTTTTATCTCCAAGTGAGCATCTTTTATTAAACTTATTTGATTTCCTTTGTGATTTCTGGAAGTTGTTTTCCATGTCTTCTCAACTTGTTGAAATTTTTCTATTATTATTTCTTTGAATATGTTTTCTATTTCCTTCTGTCTCATTCTATTTTTTACATGCTGATAGTGCATATGTTATTTCACATGATGGCATCCCATCTGGATGTTAAGCTAGCTTCACATTTATTTATTTATTTATTTAGCTAATCATATTAGGTGATTTTCAGTAATTTGCCTTCAAGTTCACTAATTCCTTCTTCTGCTTTATCTGGTCTGCTGACGAATACCTGTTTAAAATTTTTCACTTCACTTATAGTATTCTAAAATTTGTGCCTTTCATTTGGTACTTTTAAAATACTTTCAACCTCTTTGTTGAATTAGTGAATTTGTTTTTGCATTGCTATCTTGACCTCAGTGAGTATCTTTATGACCATATTTTGAATTCCCTCTTGAGTAAATCCACTTCCCTCAAGTCAATTTCTGGAGACTCATCATGTTCCTTGGTTTGGAGTATATTCTTGTTTCTTTTTTTTTTTTTCTTTAACTCACCGTGTTTCTGTGCAATGGTTAAAACAATGGCCTTTCTCAGTCTTATCAGACTGGCATCACATAGTGGAAAGATCTCACTAATTTTTCCAGCCAAAAATTTTCATGTGCCTCTCAAGTCTTTGTGCATACTGCTGTCTCTTATTTTTGGTGGCCCTCTGGAGGTCAGAATGTGTCACATCTTGTCAGTACCTGGCACAAATAAGGTAGCAGCAAGGCTCTCTGCATGTAGCTGAAAATTTTGAGGCATTGGCTGTGTATTTCACTTCTTTCTGCATTCATAGTGAGAATAAATGTGGGGGCTTATCTCACAGTCTCTCCGTATTCCACCAGGTAAGGACCCTGTGGCTAATGCCTGTACTAATATTCAGGCTGCACACTGTGACCCTGAAGAGGTAGCTGCCGCTGAAAATGAGTTCATTGTATTACCACCTTTTTGTATTCTGTGATGTAGGGCCTTTCAGGAATGCAAATCTCTATCATCTCCCAGAGTGAGTTTATTAAGGAGACAATGCCTTGAGTCAGGGCTATAGACATAATGACATTTGAAGGCATGGCTAAACTTGGTCCAGGAAGAATGGGAAATCTGAATTAACCATTGGGGTGAGCCTCATGAAGTCCCAAATTTTGGCTTTGGCTGTGGGAAGATTATTGTTTGTTTACATCATTAGCTGCCCTGTGCAAGCTCTATAGAAGCCAGGTTATTAAGTAGCCAGTGGAAGCATGTGCCCTAAGCCCTTTCTGGAGAGAAATGGAAATCAAACATTCTCTTCCCTTTTCTGCACTGCTCCAATTTGGCGTCGCCTCTGGTGTTTTTACATGCAATCTGAAGACCACCTCTTTGCTTTATGATCTAAGCAGACTGGTATATTCCTAGTATGTACTGCTGTGAGAGTTAAGAGTTTCGGGATGGAGTCCTTTTAGAGGTAACTGTAAAAGTTGTAGCACTTAATGGATGACTTAAACCTTTCTGGGGATAAACATGGAGCTGTATTTTTATTTTATTTGAAATATTTTCTCATTTGTCTTGTGCTATGTCTGTTGATGATCAATTGTATTGAAGTTTATAGTCTAATTTCTAAATGTTTGTTTATCTAGATAACTTATTTTTGCTGGTTTTTAATTTAATTCTGTTGTGAAAGTATACCAGGAAAATTTCAGTATTTTGAAACAGTCATTTTTAAATTGCACAACTGATAGTCTACTTGCTGATCGTTCTATTTAGAAAAGAAATATGCATACACACTAAGTGTAGAATTAGGGTATAATGGGTCACAATGGTCTTCAAATTTAAATTTAGAATTAGGCTATACCGTGTCACAATTTTGTTAAATAAACAATCTCTCTCAATTACTTAGTATCAGAAAATACTTTAAATTAAATAATAATGATTGCAGTCCACATTAAAATCAATGGGATATGGTTGAAACCTAGATGTGTTTTAGCATTACAACATGCATAGAAGAAAAGAAAAAACAAAAACAACAGGTACTATAATCTAGACGGTAGGAACATACACCTAACAAAAATAGAAGGAAAGAGTTATTCAAGCATAAATAGTTGATCATTAATATTAAGAAGAATAAATTGATGAGAATGTTAGGAACATGTTAAAATATTGAAAAACATAAATAAGGCAAAATACTTTTGACAAAATATGAAGTACTTTAATTATTATAGGCAAAAAAGACAATGAACTTCTTATAAATAACAATTAATGAAGTTTTATTCACCCAAATATCTCCCTGAATTGATAACAAAATATCAGACAATTGAAATAATTGCCATGATTTCCTATAATATGCTTACATAAAGCTTTAGGTGAAGTAGAGCATACTCTGATAGGAGAGAGCAGAATCAAGGAATTATAGGGTGCTGAATGCTCCTAGATGCTTCCAAACTCCTCCATCAGTCAAACAGGGCATGCTTCATTTTCATATTATGAAAAAATAAGATATTTCTGATGTATCACAGTTTAACAGGAGTTCAGCTGTGAGATTACAGAGGTGTCTTTATATCTGATTATATAACTAAAGTCAGGCTTTCCCTAAACTGTATAGAGAAGGTAGTAAATAAAAGCTTGACAGCAGTTCCAAACTTTAAATAGCATACTATAAATCACTAGTGAATATACTTAATGCTTATGTTAGTCAAGTGTCAGTAACAAATTGATTATTACCTAAATATAATCTTGCTTCTGGCTAATCAGAATCCATTGGCAGAACATTTTGTGATGGTTTTAATCCAATTCTGATATATTTGATAATAGATATCAATTTTTATTTAATGTGTGTAATTAAGAGTGTGTAATTCCATTAAAACATTCTAAAGTTTCAAAATAATTAAAATTGGTATTATATATGTTATGCAAAATTTATTTATTATACAAAGAATGTACAAAAGAACTATAAGAAAGTCTATGACAATACAAGTGAAAGTTCTATTATTTAATATAACCATTACAAAGTTGAAAAGTATAATATATGTATACATAGACGATTATAATAGGTCATAATTTATAAAAGTTATTGAATTTTATATTCTATTTAATCATATAAATTATGATTCTTAATAAAAAAGCCCAATTTTAATATTTTTATTTCAATGTTAACTATGTTTATATATATATATACATATTTTTTTATGTTTTATATTTTTTAGCAACACAAGTACAATTATGCCCACCTCCACCTCAGATTCCTAATTCTCTGAATATTACAACCACATTGAATTATCAAGATGGAGAAAAAGTATCTGTTCTGTGTCAAGAAAATTATCTGATTCAGGAAGGAGAAGAAATTATGTGCAAAGATGGAAGATGGAAGTCAGTACCACGCTGTGTTGGTCAGTAGTGTATAATTTGTTTTACATAATTCTCTCAAATGAAGTTAATACTCTGTTGTGCTTTGTGTAAGTAAGAGAGACATTCTTTCTCTATGTCTATTACTTTATCCAGACACAATAAATTAGGACCTAGGCACATTAATCAATCACCACTTTTTCAGTTTTCTGAACAAAATACCGCTAAAATTTGCAATAATATGTAAATGTCAGATAACATTTCCATTCATGCATATTTTAATCCTCATGATGAATAGGACATGAATGAAGAGGATTATTGAACAAGAAGATGGTAACATAGATATGGTGGAGGAATATATCTTTGCAAGTTTCTAATATGCTTTTGTTTTTAAATAATTTTACTTGGTCAAATTATACTCATTTGAAAGTCCAAAATAGTGTTTGATTTTATATTTCAATTTAAATATTTTATTTGTTCTTGACACTGATTTTCATTCTTCATTTAGAAAAAATTTCGTGTTCACAACCACCGCACATAGAAAATGGAACCATTAATTCATCCAAATTTTCAGAAGAAAGTTATGCACATGGGACTAAATTGAGTTTTACTTGTGAAGATGGTTTCAGGCTATCTGAAGAAACTGAAATAACATGCTTTATGGGAAAATGGAGTTCTCCACCTCAGTGTGAAGGTTAGGACAATATGAAAACTCAATTTCTGTTTACAGTAGAATACATTAAAAATGATCTCTTATCAAAGTGAGGGGAGATATATATATAATAAATATATAAAATTATATAAATATATAGAAATATAAATGCTATATATAAATATATATTTATAATATACAAATATAAATAAAAGTATATAAATATATAAAATTATTATACCATTAAAATAATTTTTGCATGATTGAATCTATTCTATTTCAGTTAATTTTATTTTTTAATGATAGAATCACTTTTTTATTCTGGCATTAAAAATATAACATCTAGTGAAATTAAACCTATCTGTATTAGTTTATCCTCATGCTGCTATAAAGAACTGACTGACAAAGACAATAAAATACCTAGGAATACAACTAACAAAGGATGTAAAAGACCTCTTTAAGGAGAACTACAAACCACTGCTCAAGGAAATAAGAGAGCACACAAACAGATGGAGAAACATTCCATGCTCATGGTTAGGAAGAATGAATATCATGAAATTGGTCATACTGCCCAAAGTAGTTTATAGATTCAACGCTATCCCCATCAAGCTACCAATGACCTTCTTCACAGAACTGGAAAAAGACCACCTTAAACTTCATATGGAACCAAAAGAGAGCCCGCATAGCCAAGACAATCCTAAGCAAAAAGAAAAAAGCCAGAGGCATCAGGCTACCTGATATCCAATTACACTAAAAAGCTACAGTAATCAGAACAGCATGGTACTGCTACCAAAACAGAGACGCAGACAAATGGAACAGAACAGAGGCCCTGGAGGCAATGCCACACATCTACAACCATCTGATCTTTGACAAACCTGACAAAAACAAGCAATGCGGAAAGGATTCCCTGTTTAATAAATGGTGTTGGGGAAATTGGCTAGACATGTGCAGAAAGCAGAAACTGGACCCCTTCCTGACACCTTACACTAAAATTAACTCCAGATGGATTAAAGACTTAAACATAAGACCTAACACCGTAAAAACCCCAGAAGAAAATCTAGGCAAAACCATTCAGGACATAGGCATAGGCAAGGACTTCCTGACTAAAACACCACAATCATTGGCAAAAAAAGCCAAAATAGACAAATGGGATCTAATTAAACACCAGAGCTTCTGTACAGCAAAAGAAACAATCATTAGAGTGAACCAGCAACCAACAGAATGTGAAAAAATTTTTGCAATCTACCAATCTGACAAAGGGCTAATATCCAGAATCTACAAAGAACTGAAACAGATTTACAAGAAAAAAACAATCAAACCCGTCTAAAAGTGGGCAAAGATATGAACAGATACTTTTCAAAGGAAGACATAGATGAGGCCACCAAACATATAAAAAATGCTCATCATCACTGATTATTAGAGAAATGAAAATCAAAACCACATTGAGATACCACCTCATGCCAGTTAGAATGGCAATCATTAAAAAATCTGGAGGCAACAGATGCTGGAGAGGATGTGGAGTAATAAGAACACTTTTACACCGTTGGTGGGAGTGTAAACTAGTTCAACCATTGTGGACGACAGTGTGGCACTTTCTCAAGGACCTAGAAATAAAAATTCCATTTGACCCAGCAAATGGGATATATCTAGTGTATATACCTTTGGGTATATACCCAGTAATGGGATTGAGGGGAACAAGGGAGGGACAGCGGTGGGTGGGGAGGTCAGGGAGGGTTAACATGGGGAGAAATGCCAGGTGACAGGGGATGGAGGCAGCAAACCGCATCGCCATGTGTGTGCCTGTGCAACCATCCTGCATGATCTGCACATGTA